TTTTTTTTTTTTTTTTTTTTTTTTTATATATATTTTTTAAATCTTTTGCAGTCCAAAGTATAAACCATCTTCGGTTTCAAACTGTGTCACCTTTCAGATTGTTTGACTGTTGTTTCTTTTTGTTCTTCTCAAGCTTCCATAATTTTGCTAGCTTCTTTTTGACAGCTTGAGCTGGGTGCAGCATACACCAGTTCACTAGAGATTATCTATATTTTAATATTTTGTACTTATTTAGGTACACTATCGACGAAGTAGCGGAGGATTTAAAAACAATTCCATCCCTTCTTGAAAAGGCACTACAATGTATGCAAGTCCTTAGCAGTTTTGATCCTCAAGATGATGAAACTTCATGTTTTGTGGAACAACATTATGAGCTAGCATACAAGGTCCTCGATGATTCCCACTTCATTCATCTACTTGCCGAAAGAGCTAAGAGGGTACCTTTTTATCATTTTTAATGTTACTTTGGTTTTTTTCTCTCTTTTTTTTTTTTTTTTTGCTCAACTCTCTCTCTCTCTCTCATCAGGACAATGAATCCCTCACAATTCTACACAAATATGCCTTCGAGCGACCGAAGGTCCAAACTAAGGGTGCACCAGCAGTAGTTTCTACTATTATTAACGATCCTGGGTTCCATCTTTATGCGAAACGAATTGAAAAGAATGATGTTGGTGGAGGCCTGAGGTGTGTTCTCACTTCTTTTCTTTTCTTTCTTTCTTTTCTTTTTTCATTTTTTATTTACCCTATAGAATGACTAGTTATGTTTTTTTTCGTTAATCAAGATGAGAAATTTTAATTAATGAAACAAACATATATTTATCTTTCTCTTTTCATTCCTGTAGGATTTTTCTGAGTATCTTAATCGTTCATTGGATTCATAATTCGGCATATGAGAAGTTAACCGAGAAATTTGTTGAGTATGCTCGAGAGCGATCAGCACTAATTACTTACCTTAGGAATGCTCGGGGCAATGACAAGACATCGGGTGAAATTCGATATAGCACCAGGTTTACCGGTGACTTGGAGGTATGGTTATATGCCCATTTATATATTTTATTCACTTCCCCCTCAATTGCTAAATTAATAAATATGTTCTCGATGAAATAACCAGGGTTTGAAGGCAGCATTACATGACCTATATGATGATAGACCTTGTAAGCACATTTTCAATGAGGTAAATAATGCACTAGGGAGTATTCATAGTTTACTTTTCTCTCCTCCTATTGACATATATATTATAATCATTATTAATTTTGTCAGTGGTGTATATTGTTCACACCTTTCAGATGTTAAAACATTTTAGCTTATGGGCTATGTCTAAATTTCTCATTGCAGCTTAAGATTAGCCAATACGGAAATGAGATCGAGGCTAGACGGCTGAATTACGATGTGAAGTTGAATATGAGTGCTCAACTGGATAATGGTTCGTGTGCTGCTGTGGGTGTTGTTGTTCAATGTGATTAATCAGTTGTAGTGTAGCGGCTCTGATGTTTTTGGTCAGCTTTGTGTTTTACACTTGCTGGCACATACTATGTTTTACTAAATTTGGCATATATTTGTTGATCGGTTGTTAGTATTGTGGGAATTATTAGTTGGATTATTATTTATGGAGGATGGTTATTTGGCCAATTTACATGTGTTGTAGTGATTTCAACTTATTTGCACATATACAAAATAGAAAACTTATATGCAGTTATACCTAATTTAAATTAATTATATATATATATATGTGTGTGTGTGTGTGTGTGTGTACAACATATGAGAAACAGAAGTAATATTAACTTTCAATGTCAATATAATGAAAGCTTGGTTTTGGATGTACTAGTACGTAACCCGTGCGATGTACGGGCTGTATAAATTTGAAGAATAATATAATTTGACGTGCATTAGTATCGTGCTCGAAATCATTAAAATACATAGGAACAATATTGAATCATAAAAATGTGGTGACTTCACAATCATATATTATTAAAAACCTCATTGTACACAACATTATGAGTTTGATTATTTGCTAACTCCTCATTATCACAAATTAATATTTTCAACCCCCTTCTATTAGTTACACGTGAAACGACAACATATAATTGGTCGTGACTAAAAACAGGTTTCTTCAGGAGAAGACCGACGTGCGATAAAGACTGTCCCTGACTCTTATTTATGGTCATGGTATATGAAACCGTAAAGTGGGAATTGTCGCCGCTGGAAGTTAAATGGAATCTTAGTATCGGATGGAACGATATTCATCCTAGGAATCAAGACCTTCTCGCCAGCGTGATCTCCTGTCAATATCTTGCATTCGAGAAAATGAGTAGAGAGTTTAGTCAACCAATCGAGTACCATTGCACAGTCCCATAGAATGGTCCATATTACGCAACAACATTACTGGAGTTCCTATCTTCAGGTGCAACTCATGGTTGGGACAACCAGATTTGATGCTATTCAAGAATTCTGGCGTGTGGAGATCTGCCAAAAAATCATTTCCAGAATCCGATTTAGAAGTACTGTCTGAGCTCAAATACGTACGACCTTCAGAAGAATTCAAGTCGGACATGTATTGGTTGATGGACTCAACAATCTCCAATGTGGGAGCTAATATTGCCCTATCCTTCAAATAACTCGGATCGTCAGTTGCGTTCTTGAACATTGGATAGGTACTTTCTACAATCGTAGCAATCGGATCATCTGAGGGATCCAATCTTATATCGTCTGGAATTTCAATGGTGGCACAACCATCATTTGATCCTCCTATAGTACCATCTCCAATACTCGCAATCCAGTCGGCAAATGCAGCCACCTCGTCACGCTCCTCCGAATCATAAATGCTCTGAAGACGCATGTTTTTCGTAAGCCGGAGCACAGTGCAGTCCGTCCATAGATCCATCAACTTTTCCTCCGAACGACGTAAATGCAAACATGCTATGTAAGATCTGATGTTATCTTGAAAATGCTTGCTTCTACGACTATCTCCAAAAAGCATTTCATTCAAAAATCTAGGCGGATCTTTCAGCATCGGTAGTTGTACAATGCCATTTTGGCAACAACCACTGTAATCTGGAATATTTTTAATTTTCTCAGTCTTTTTCTTCTCTGCTACCCAAAATACTTATCCACAATACTGGCAACTCAAGATTGGATCACCCATATCCCAATATTCTGCAAGATTGTATAAAAGATTAAAAAAAATTTTGTCGATGAAATAATCTTCCATATATTTTTAAAATTATATATAGTAAATAAAAATCAACCCTTATTTCTTAAAGTTGATCCTTGATTTTTCTTTGGTCGACCACGCTATTGTTTCCATGAAGGGGGTTCAACACTCGCATCCTGCATGAGATCAACAACAACACTGGTGCTAGTACAATGAAGATTAGACATATTCTTCCGTCTTCTTGCAGTTCGTGTTTGTTCATTGACACCTAAATATGATTAATTCTATTAAATATAGATTTAAAATAACTTCAAAATGTTGCAATAAATAAATACTTAAGTAAATAAATAAATAAGATATCATAACAAATGAATTATGAACTTGAAACATTTGATGGACGTAAAAAACCATTAATAATCTTACCACATCTTGAATGTTCAAAAGTTGACTGAGGAATAATACTCAACTCAGGTTCATCATCACTTGTGAGATCAACTAAGATAGCATCTCCTCTACGAAACGTTTTTGCAAAAAAGTTGATATTTGGTTGAGCAGTGAAATTTGATTTCGGAGGATATGATGATTGTATAGTATCTGCAATTGAAATGAAACCAACAATACAATTGTATTAATTGAATCAAAATATTTATTTATATATAATGCTTTTATTTAAAAAAAAACCCTTACTCCAAATTCTAGAATACATATGTTTCGACGACGTACACGAATCGATAGTTCCAAAAACTACAATAAATTAAAAATAAATAATTAACAAAAAAATAATTATTATGTAACAAAATTGATAGTGGAAAATAAGTAATAATCAAATAATAAAAAAATTTGATTACCATTAGTGACATCTGATAACGGTGAATGTCCTTGAACTGAAAAAGACTATCTGCCCGTTTCTTTTTATTTTGCACGATGGAATGATCACTAATTATATTTTCTGTACAAATAAATAAATGACATTTTCATTATCAAAAAATTATTAAGACAACAAATAAATGTAATTAATTTTTAACATAATTCAAATAAATCTATATATATTAATTTGCTTAATAATGTAAATTAAGTGTGTTAGATTTAATATGAGTATTATAAATAAATATCTCATATAAAGCCCAAACATATACCAAAGTTAAGGCATTTGTATATACAGCCCATACAACACCAAAAATTACTTAATAACGGCCCAAAAAATAGAGGCAAGCCCAGGTCATTTTGGCCCAATAACTTATAATATTCGAAATTTAATACATCACATAGGTTGGTGTTGTTATTTTCTGGACACGTGTATTACATGCACATAAGACGCGTACAACATGTAATATTAAAACGGACGGTCATGATTCGGGCAACTGGATCGAACAGTGAACATCTAATCTGACCGTGTATAAAAGCAAAACAATGACCGAAATTGTAGGGTTTGTCTTCATTTCTCTGCGCCTCTCTCTCTCTTCAACTACAAAACAATATTCGTTTTTGTCGATTTTTATCGCGAAAATTTTCAAAAATTAAAGTAAAGTTGTTAACAAAATACGCAGAAAAATGAAGATCTTCACACGGTCGGTTGGATCTAACTCATTTTTGTAAGTTAAAATACTTTTTCATGTCAGATCTATGTATTTGTACATACTATAATTATGAAATGTAAATTTTCCTTTCAAAATTTCCTTGTTCAAAACAAAAAATGATTTTTTGTTTCGGATTTAACATCGTTTCTAAAGAAAGATTTATGATTTCATTGTTGTATCGGATTTAAGCTCGTTTTATGTTGAATCTAAAGAAGAAGTGAATTTATATTTTAGAAATCTTTGAGATCCGACGAAATGAACCGCTTTTCTTTCTGATACGAAGAAAGAAATTGCGTTTCATTTTGATTCCAGCGAAATATGTTCGAAAAACATAATTATTTTTGTGTTATGCAGGGCGGAGCTCAAATCGAAGCTATTGCTTTGTTTGCCCTAACGAATTTCGTTTTGGACTGAATAAAAGGTGCGTATAATACTAACTGACACATTTTGGGAAACTTGTATATAATTGTCTATTTTTATTGACAGATCTGGTCCTTTTTGTATATATTATTATATTACTTAATAATTTCTATGTATAAATGTTTAATGATGCGAGCAAATTGCTTTGAACTTTATATACACTGCATCAATTGCCTGTTGGTATGTTTATGTGGTGTTTGTGCTTTGTTTCTTAAAACATGGTTATTTTGGGTTCAAAATGTATGGATTTTAATTGATTGAGATTTTAGTTATAAAATGATTTTATTATAATTGATAATATTAACATCTTTAATTGCCACTAACTATATTCTTACCAAGTCATTTGTCATTCTTAATGTGTCAGGTGGATATCAAATAAGGGATTACTGAACTGAGGTATAAAGATAGGTCAGAAAAGTGATCAACCTTGAATCACACAGGCAAGTTCTTTGTATACATTATTGTTCTATGTGAACATTCATTCAATATAATTCATCAGTATAATGAATTGATAATTTACATGATATTTAACCTTTTATGTTTTATATTTTTCTTATTGAACTTTCTATTGAACTGGGGCAACAATATCACCAGAAGAGAAGCAGGAAGAAAAGCAAGCAGCTAGCAGGCAAGATAATTGAAAAGAAGACCAAACAGGTATGTTTTTTTTAATAAGTTCCTATATATTTTTTTATATTCAACTATCATATTAACATACAGAATATGATTATTAATCGTATTATCCTTAATTAAACTATGTATATAATTGAATTTTTTCCTGTTTTCATGGTCGAGGATGGTGCGAACTAAATCCAGTAGGATCTCAACAATATCAGACTTCACAACTAATTCAGACTTGGAGAAATGTAAATAAAAAAATTGTAAGATTTAACTGAAAATAACATATTTAATTGGTAGAAATCATGAGTAGAGGGTAAAATGAACAATACAGATATATCATATTATAAATATAAAAAATAATAAAGGGCAGAAAAAAATAAGTTACAAAAACATTACTTGGATTGA